GGTTGACACTTCAAAAGGGGAAACTCTACGCATCAACGTATTGTCATCTGTTAATCCGACTTTATTTTAAGATTTTTCTTTCAGCTTTCCCCTATGGCCTTAAATATCACATAAAATTTTCTGAAAATTTTTCTTACTTTTGCAAGATTTCCTGAAGATTCTTCCATGGTTCTTCTTCATGTTTTACTGTAAATTGTTTTTATATGTTCTGAATTAGCCTATTGTGAATTATGAGAATGGATATAACCATCTATTATATTTCACATTTCGTACTGTTTCTTAAGGTCCTTTTGGATTTGAAAATGCAGTTTGATATCACATTTCCTCATCTTGCGTGCTCAATCCTAAGCGTTGATGCAATGGACGTAAGTGGAGAACAACACCTTGATGTGGTATGTATTGCGAGTAGTTATGCCTTTTTATTCTAAACTGATGAATTTCTCTTCAACATCAAGTGTTGTAAAGGGAATTTTCTAATCTACTCGCGCGCTCTTCTCTCTAAGGGCACATAGATGAGTTTTCATATGCAATATGGGCAGAAGTTTATGTGCATGCTCATAGAAGTTACCTTTTTCCATGCATATTGCTGCTAAAATGGTTCAATTGTTGCTGCTAAACATTTATCTTTATAAACATGCAGAAACATGATATATTCAAGAAACGGGTAGATGCACATGGCAATGTTATAGAATCAAGAAAAGATGGAATTGGTGCTCCCAAGGTTTGCTATATGGATATATTTGCTTGAAGTTGTTTTCACAGTTGCATTTTAGAAAAAAAGAATCTGAGTAGCCACACATTCAGCTCTTTTCCCCTTTCTTTCTGCTCATTTTTGTTCCTCTTCACACAGATTGAAAAGCCTTTACAGAGGCATGGTGGCAGGCTCGAGCGAAATGAGAAGTATTGTGGTTCATGTTATGGTGCAGAAGAGGTATGCTTCATCCATAGTTCTCTGTGATATAAGTCAATCCATTGGGTTCTAGATTTTACTGAATACGATGGATCTTTGACTTGTTTCTTATGTCCCAATATTTTCTTTATCCCAAGAGGATTGTAATTTTGTCATCGTATGCTAACATAATGCACTCATTTGATTTAGAAGCATTAATTCACCTTTGTTCTTTTGTCTTTTGGCTATTCCCTAAATTTCTTCTGTTTTGGTTGCATTTTATTCTGGAGTTGATGTGGTCAGTGCTTAGGTAGTGAATAATCATTGAAAACAGTCCGGTTACAAGAATGACTATCTTCCTGCTCCAGGCATGGTGTACTTTTCCTCCCTGAGCATTCTTTTTTCGTTCAATATTGCAGGCTGCTGATGATTGTTGCAACTCCTGTGAGGAAGTTCGCCATGCATACAAAAAGAGAGGTTGGGGTTTGCCATACCTTGATTTGATCGACCAGGTCTGGCTGCATAAGAGCTTAAGTATCAGATTTAATGACACACACAGATGTATGCGCTCAGATAGGAAATGCTGTTTTTGCCTTTAGCATCTTTGATGTTGATAGTCCTGCCTGTACTTCATTGTTTTTGTTTTCATAGCTACTTAGATATATTGAATTTCCTTTTCCCTTCCTAATAATGCCTATTTGGTATTGACCGTTTGTATATCCAACTCCCATAGAGGTTCTATTTGAATGCCAGCTGTCACGGTGGCAAGGGGAATAGTTATTTGCCTTTGCTAATATGCCAGTGCAGCGGTGTATGCTTTTCTCTGTTTAGTAGTTAATTGCTTTCTGGTTGGCCTATCTACAGACTTTGTCTGTTCCCCCTTTAATATTAATTTGGTTTTTAACCCAGTTGGCCTACACGTTTTACTGTAACCCTGGTTTATGCTTTTTGATTTATGCTTTGTTGTTTCTGTTGTTCAGTGCAAGAGAGAGGGTTTTCTTCAGAAGATTAAGGATGAAGAAGGTGAGGGGTGTAATATATATGGCTCTTTAGAAGTCAATAAGGTGGCTGGGAATTTTCATTTTGCACCTGGGAAAAGCTTTCAAGCAATCAGATGTTCATGTACATGACTTTCTGGCAGTTCAAGATGACAGTTATAATGTAAGATGAATGCCAGCCCTTTTGTTTCCATTCTTTGTGTATATTAGCATGTCTTTTCTGAAAATGATTATCTGATGTTACCATGCTTCATGAATATTTGATATAGCTGAGTCACAAGATCAATAAATTAGCTTTCGGAGATTACTTCCCTGGGGCCATGAATCCTCTTGATAGGTGCTTGCTAACTTTCACTTGATCATTTTTACCTTGTCCATGTACAAGAGCTAGTTGTTGACATATTTTATATTTATCTTGACCTTATCTTATTTCTTCTAAAATTAGTGCTCAATGGACACAAGAACAACCAAGTGGGATGTTCCAGTACTTTATCAAGGTTGGTTTTCTGCATGAATTCATTTTTTGTTAGTTACTTTGAGGAATTTTCAATGTACTTTCTATCTTGTAGGTTGTACCGACGGTGTACACAGATGCGAGTGGACACACTATCCAGTCTAATCAGGTGTGGTTAAAAAACTTGCTGAAAGATTCAATTCTATCCTTTTCATTTGGTTAAAATGATTAATGCATGGGAGATTGTTTTCGACAGTTCTCCGTAACAGAGCATTTTAAGGGTGCAGAAACAGGCCAGCTTCAATCCCTTCCTGCAGTTTACTTCTTTTACGACCTTTCTCCTATCAAGGTTGGTTTCTCCTATGCTTTTGTTTTTATGCAACTTCTTTGTCTGAAATAAACATTTGATGTCGTAGTGATGCCACATCACTTTCAATGTTGTTCTAAATGTTAGCTAGAATCCGGACCGTTCTCTCTAGTTGTTTCATTTGATCCCCGACTCTTCTCTGAGCTTCTTTTCAACTTCATTTTGCAGGTGACTTTCACGGAGCAGCATGTCTCATTCTTGCATTTCCTAACAAATGTTTGTGCTATTGTTGGAGGTAAGGAGCCTTTTCCTTTTTTTTCCGTATTCGGATTATTTGATCAACTTCGAACGAGGCAAGCACCCAACATCTCTCCCATATTCAACTTCCGAAATCTATAAATTACACCTTCCCAAGTTCATGTTTACTTTTATTTAATTCGAGAAAGCTTCAACCCCAAAAATAAGGCTTTGTCGATGAAAATATATGGAAACCTTTAAGACAGATATGCCCTTCTCAAGGACTTTATGCCCTTCACAATGACTTGATTGGATTGGAGTTGTTGATTATTTGTTCCCATTTCTTCTCCAGGTGTTTTTTCAGTTTCGGGAATGATAGACTCTTTCATATACCATGGTCAAAAGGCAATCAAGAAGAAGATTCAACTTGGCAAACTCAGTTAATGATCAAATAGAGTAACATGAGATTGCTGCAGTTTCTTGTTCCCGGTAACAGGTGTTTGACGAAAATTCGAACCGACAGAAGACCACACCAACGTATGTACACCTCTTTATTCGATTTCTTGCTAATCATAAATGAAAATTTTGTGTTATTATATAGTTCAATATTAATAGTTAGTATTAAACAATCATTGGATTATATATTCACCCTTTATATTTTTTGTGTTTTTTTTTGGGTGATTTTCAGGTAAATTTATTCATAGATCGGAACGCTTGTTCGATTTGGATTTCAAAGAAGATTGTATGTACTTTCAAACAAGATCTTTTGGTTCGGATTAATGTAATTTTGTTTGTATTATTGACCCATGAATAAAATAATATTTAGATTTAATTATAAAGTAAATATTAATATTTTTATATTTTAATGTTTAATGAACAATAATTCAATATAAAAAATTAAGAAGACGACTTAAGTTTGTAAAGGGAACAAACTATAGAAAACTTTAACTTCATCACATAAAAGCATTTTATATTGAAATTTGATGATAGGTGTCATTGATCTCCAAATGTCCAACAAATTTAGAAATTGTATGCTGATAGCATGGGCTTCAACATTATTAAGGACCTGAAAATGTTAATAATTTTCCATTTTTAAAATTCAAAATTTAGATTCTAATTTATTTTAAAACCTAGACTCTATAAAATATAAATAATTAAATTTATTAAATATGTTTATCAAATTAACAATAAACTCGATTTTTGTGCTTAATATTTAGGTGTAATTTTAATTTTTTATAATTACAGTTTTTTTATAGATTTTTAGAGATTTCTTAAAGATTACATATTTAATTTTTATAAAATATTTAGAAATTTATAATTTTTTGAAATTTTTATTATTTTTATACTTTTTTGTTAAAGAGAAACCAAATTGCATATTTTTAAACTACCAAAGACCCAAGTGATATTTATAATATTTATAATCCAATTTGTTTAAATTATTCAAATAGTAAAACTCATTCGATTTGAATTTTAAAAAATTTAGAAAATAAATTTAGAAAATCAAATAACTGAATTAATTATTGTAAGATAGGGAAAAATTATAGTTGGATATTACCATTTTCTGTCATTTCCGTCTCTCTTTTTCTTCCTTTTTGTTGGTGGGGGAGTTGGATCCTTTTTTTTTTCCCCTTCTTTTTTGTTGGTGGGGGAGTTGGATATAACTTTTGCAGTTTCAAACGTGATCGAATGAAGGACAGTTGTTAAGGGTGAATTAACTTTTTTATTCGACCACTTTGAATATTTTCCAAATTATCATCTTTTTATATACGGTGTCTAACGAAATCGAAATAATGTCTTTAAATGTCATTTCATCAATTAATTTTGAAATAATCCGTCTTTATATGTCGTTTCATCAATTATTTATATTGTTTATCAAGTTATCACTAGTCACTTGCATGTGATATTATGTATATTTGATATTGTTCTAAATATATTTATTACTAATGCAATCGATATACCTATTTAAAAAAGATAGAATATTTATTTTTCTATTATAAATAATTAGAACTAATATAATTTAAATAATTATGGTTTTTTTTTAAAATTTGAGAATAAAAATTTGAATAAAAGCGAAATGACCAAACTAAAACCTATCCAAATTTATAAAATAAAATAAAAGGCCAAAAAGAAATAGAATATTCATATTAGAATTTTAAAGAAAACAATAAGTCCTGAAAACAGGGGACACAAAGACACACTTGATAATAACGAATAGCAGACAACACATACATATGTCAACTTGTAAATTAGACTCGTAATCGCAATTTCTAGTTATCTTCCTCCAGGTACAACTTCATAACCTCAGCACAACCAGCTTCAGGCTCGTTGACCATGAACCCCATAGCATTGGCAAAACGGGTGTTTGATGCAATGCCATTGAAGTTGGTCAAGATCACGCGAGCACGTTCACGCCCTGGTGTCATTTGAGCACACTTGGGCTGCGAGCTCTTTACAAGAACAGCATCACAGACCTCATCTAAATGATCCTCAGAGACACTGATCTTGTATAGGCCTGTTGAGTCCGTGTATCCTTCCCTCTCGTACACGACTTCACCGGTCTTCCTTTCGGAACAAACCAACTTAACCTTGGCACCTACAGAGCACATCATCAGTGAACCAAAATTCCAGAACTAAATGCAAAAAATGCACCATTAATTGCCCCAAGTGGTAACATCATATAGCCTTGTACTCAAATCTTACTAAAACTGGATCCAACCACCAAAAATACAACTGTAAATTAGACAATGAAAACACAAAGGCTTCCATCTCCATGAGGCACCATTCTTGGCTTAGTACTAATGTTACTTCAATTCTTCATTTTCCGTAAAATATCGGTATTTATAACAAGGGTGGATCGAGGGGACAGATAGAGACGGCCGCTCTCCTCAAGAATTTCAAATTTTCATATCGTTTAGATACTTTTTTATATTTTCTATTTATATATGTTTTAAATCATGCGTCCGTCCTTATATCTGAAACTCACACTGAATTATATGCTTGACATAAAGTTATGGGCAATGCTATCATTTTGAAAACCAAACCCTTTTCTTTCAATTACAACTTCGAATCAATCTTCTCTCGGTTGTCAAAATTTAGGTTAAAAAAATATAATTTTGCTGTTGCTAGTCAACTTAACACTAATAACTTTTTAGGTTTTAGTAGTGAAAAGGATCAATTAACCACTAGTTCAAAAACATGGTTATTCCATTATCTTTAGGTTTCAAACATAACCCTAATTTCTTTACACTCGTGAAACTCAAAACTACTTCATAAATCTACAAGTTCACAAAGTAAAAGGGAAAAACGGATCCAACAATGTGAGGAACAGAACAAACAAAAACATAGAAAAAGGCATATAGGAATGGGGAAAGTACCGGCCATGTTTGTAGTCTTTGGGGTTTCAAACCCAGCACGGCATAGGTCACAGTAAACTTGACCTTGAACCATCAATGGATTCTTCACCATGCGTGTACCACTAACCAGAGATGGAACCACGCATAGAGCGATGAACAACAATATTTTCGCCATTTTTCTTCCTTTTCTGAAGGGGTCTCCTCTAGAGAATGTGATGGAAGAATTGGGGAGAAGGGATGGAGATTGAAGATGATAAAGTGGATTGATATCAGCAAATTAAACAACAACAAAAAATGTGGGGAAAAGGAAAAATGGAAACTTGGTAAACCGCGTAAGAGCGTATTCGTGTGCGGTGGATATAAGATGATAAAAGTTGCCGTTTTTGCATGGCGCCATTGGCAAGTAAAAGGGGTGGTGGTGATTTGGTAAATAGTGAAGGGAGTTGAAGGGTGTTTTGGTAAATGGGTGAGGTGAGGGTGATGGTGTGGCGAGTTTTTATTGGTAGAGTGAATAGAAGAGCAGAGATGAAGAGCGTAGAGGATTGAAGTGGGGACGAGGAGGTTGTGCAAAGCGTTGGGGGATTGGCATTACGCCATTACTTCATTCATTATTTTCCTACGGCCAATCACGCATGTAAAGCAAAAAGGGTGAAATTCTTGAAAAATTATCGGTGATCGTATATTTATTGATCTAACATCGGTTAAATTATATTTCTCGATATAACATCGGTCAGATTATATTTCTCGATCTAACACCCGTAGCAGTAAAGCACGCCTCTTGAACCGCGCTATATGCTGATTTAACGTCACGTGGGGTATAGCGCGCCCCCTGTACCGCGCTATACTCTGACATAGATTACACGTGGGTATAACGCGCCCCCTGATCCGCGCTATACGTCACGTAGGGGTATAACGCGAATCAAGGGTCGCGTTATACCTGATTATCTGACACGTGGGGTATAGTGCGGTACAGGGCGCGCTATACCTTTAATTACCCACCCCTCCACACCCCAATTCTCCCTATAAATACCCCATCCTCAATCACTTTCATCACACCAAATTCTCTCAATTTCTCTCAAATACTCTCTCTGTTTAAGGTATATTTTATAATATTTTTAATATTATGTATTTAATTTATTTAAGTATTTTACTTTATTTAATATTTTACTAATATAATTCTTTTGCAGATATATAATGGAAGACAGTCTACTTCGCTTGGATAAAAATCATATATCTCGACACTTTGCTGATACGGTAACATTTTAACGTTTTAATTTAATTTAAATTATTAGTAATAATTAGTTGATTTATTTAATGCATGATTATTAGATTAAGAATTAATTTTTGTAATTATTTATTTTTAGGAGAATGACCGTGTATTAGATCCTTTTATTAGGAATCTTAAGTTAGTGATACCTAGCCGTGTCTTGCCGTATTTAGTAGAGGCTGGATTTGGTTACATAAGTAGATATCAAGGTCACTGTAAGATAGAACCATACCTTATTTCTGCCTTAGTAGAGCGGTGGAGGCCGGAAACCCACACATTCCATCTTCCGTGCGGAGAGTGCACAATCACGCTTGAGGATGTTTCTATGCACCTGGGGCTTCCAGTGGATGGAGATGTGATATCAGGGATAGCTTCCGATTCTTGGACTACTTTGTGTCGGGATAATCTAGGACGTGTCCCGAAAAGTTTTATCGGAGGTAGGATACCGTTAAATTGGTTAGATGCCAATTTTCGGGAGTTGAGCGCAGATGCCTCTGAGGATGAGGTTAAGATGTATGCACGGGCATGCATATTGCAGTTGATAGGAGGGTTGCTGATGCCGGACAAATCGCTCAACCTAGTTCACTGCATGTGGTTGCGACATATTAGCGACTTTCGTCTCGCCGGATCATTCAGTTGGGGCTCGACAGTTTTGGCTTTGTTGTACAGGGAGATGTGTGGAGCCACTGACTACAGGCGTAATGTTATCGGCGGATGTCTCCTACTGCTGCAGTCTTGGGCATGGTATCGATTGCCCTTTTTATGTCCCGTTGTGAAGAACCCATTCGTATTTCCACTACTTCTGAGGTAATTATAAAACTGATTTTGTATATTAATAATTTTATACAGCGTATAATAAATTTTTTTCCTTGAATAAGTGGTCTTCTGATAGGAAAAATCATTAGGAGCTACCTGATGATTTAGAAAAAATTAGGGTGCTAATCGATTAGGAAGCTGGCACACATGTATGAATTTTAATGTTTAAAAATCGATTTTAGATTATAGTTATATAATTAGATTATTATTTTGATACAAATTATATATTATTTGTTTTAGTTTGAATGGGTGTCATATTCTACTGATGATGTGAGGGCGGTGATCCCACCTGAGTTGAGGGGTCCATCAGATGTTTGGACGGCGATGGTCCCTCTGATCTGTTATGCGATCGTCGAGTGGTACTCCACTGATCGCGTGCTCCGGCAGTTTGGTTGTTTTCAAAAAATTCTGGAAGCACCTCGCAATATGGACAAGTTGCATAGCTTAGATGGACGCAACAAGACAATACAGATTGACTGGTGAGGCATCATGAGTGGGTCGTGTTGTGGGATGATCGATATCGGTGCCTTCCCCATAGAGAGCCCATTTTTGATGACCTCTTGATGTATGCTGACTGTCATTATGAGTGGTTCAACAGTAATGGGAAACAGTTTCTACTTCCCGAGGATGCACGAGGGCAGACCTTTCCGTGACATCGATAGAGACGTGATCTGACACAGCACCATCGTCCCCCGACTCGTGGACGGAGAGCAGGTGCTTCCGGTTCATCCTCAGCTGTACCAGCAGGACCTTCACAGCAGCCACCGTAGCCATTTATGATGCCGCAGCCCCATATGATTCTGCCATCGCATTTCCATTACCAGATGCCGCCGCCTTCACCTGGTTTTATGACCCCGCCGCCGCCGCCGTCACAGATGACCCCTCTTGGAGGCTATTATGGGTCTATGTTTGTAGATCCGACTTGGGGTTCATATACTAGATATTTGGCGGGTTCAGCCTCATCACCCATGGCCGCAGCACAGACACCTCCTATACAGTTTTCACACTCAGCGATGTCTGGGTTTTCCCAGTTTTCGCAGGCCGGTGGGATAGTCAGTCATACACCTCCAGGGTCCTTATTCTATGGAGATGTTTCATCATCATCAGCTCCTCATCAACCTAATATACCTGCTCAGGACGACGACGATGACGACGACGATGATGACAGCGAGGAGTCAGAACCAGTGATACGAAGAAATCCTCCTCGAGACCGACAGCCACCACCCTGCGAAACACATTCACGACGCAGGCATCGATAGATTTTTTTTATATTTGTATTTACTTTATTTTGTTTAATTGTAATTTTTTATTATTTCTCATTTAATATTTACTTTATTTTGTTAAATTTGTTGGACTTTTTTTTAATATATTTTAGTTAATTTTGTTTATTACCATTTAATATTTAGTTATTGTAATTTGGTTATCATTTACCATTTAATTCTTATTGTAAGTTTGTTGTATTTAAATACCAAATTGTTATTAGTTTGATAAAATTTAATGATTGTGTTCGTTTTTTTAATCTTCATCAGCGATTATCGAATGACATTAACTTGAAGTAAATGCAAATTAAAATACAAGAATTATTATTTGATAAACAAATACATCATTTCCTCATCAATTGTTACTTGATGACAACAGAAGTGGACATGTTTTTCTAGTGTGTCATGGGTTTCTACAATGGCCACATCTTCTGTCTTGTCTAGATCTTTCTCGAATATCCATATCGTAATGAATTTGATTGGATTTTGGATGACCACGCTCCCTCAATAAACTCGGATTTGGTACAATCGGAAGCCAATCTTGAACCTCATCAGGGTCTTTGTCATTACCTATGGGGGGAAACTCAAATTCGTATACCTTAAAAACTTCAGATAGTAGGTATACGGGATCCATAAAATGGTTATAGTCTTGACGTGTATGCGAGCAAACTGCTATCACATGAGAGAATAGATACTTTAGAGCTTGAAAAAACCCGTAGTCGCACATTCTGTCCCTTAGATTTACTCTTAACAACACAACTTCAATCCCTTGAAGAGGTCACGACAACTCTGGGACACGAAACATTTCATACCTTCTAGAGAAGCTTGTTACAGACATTTCATTTGATGCAACAATTTTTTTTCTATAGATCTGTAACTAATCTAGGGTATAGACATGACCGCCTTGCATCCAGGTTTGAGCTTGTCCCCCAAGCTTCGCAAAAAGTGCCCCCAAACAAAAATATGTAGTTTTTACCAAAGCCGCTACAGGTAAGTGACTTCCAACATGAATCTTCCTCAAAATCTTCGTTATTAGCTCCTCAAGAGTTTTGTTTCTCTTGAATGATATTTTAACACGCTCATTTGATACGAAAACAACGCCGGTTTCATCTTCTCGAATTTCACCAGCATAATAAACAATAGCTGAAAGTCGTGCCATTCTTTGAGTTTAAAAGTGCGGCAATATTATATCTGCAAAAAAAATAACTGAAACAAACCTGATTAAATAAATTATATATGAACGAAAATATAATACAATAATTTTTTACACATCAACGTAAATAATTTAAATAATATAATTTTATATTATTACCTGCACCGCAAAACTATTTCGACGTATGCTTCCGCTTTTCAATTTTACAAACATAAAAATTAATTGAAAATAATTGGTATAATATTTTTTCAAATAATGATAATAAACAATAAGTATAATTAAAAAATTATAACAAAATTACCTTATAACGAAAAATCGCACGAACTTCTAAATCAAATATGAGAAGATTGCCAGAATTATTACTCGTTGACGGAATTATTGTATTAATTTATAAGTTGAGAGGAGATATGCGAGGAGATGTGAGAAACTTAACCGCCGAGGAGGGTATTTATAACCATATAAGGCGCGGTACCTGCACCGCGCTATATGTAATTATTCATATAAAAGATATAGCGCAGACCAGAGACGCGTTAAATATAATTCACCCCTACGTGGCGTATAGCGCTCCCCCTGATCCGCGCTATACCCCTACGTGGCGTATAGCGCGGATCAGGGGGCGCGCTATACACACGTGTAATCCATGTCAGCGTATAGCGCGGTGCAGGGGGCGTGCTATACCCTACGTGGCGCCAAATCAACATATAGCGCGGTTCAGGGGGCGCGCTTTACTGCTACGGGTGTTAGATCAGGAAATATAATCTGACCGGTGTTAGATCGGTAAATATACCGAT